TATAATACAATACAATTATATAGCAATATAATATATAATACTACAATTATATAGCAATATAATATATAATACTACAATTATATAGCAATATAATATACTACAATAATGTAACAATATTATACAACAATATAATAGAATACAATTACAATATATTTTATAACGATTACACAGTACATTTCAAAATACAATAGTACACGCATCACATATTTATTTCTACTCTGAAATAATGATTATGATTTAATATGATTATGATATTAATAATATTTGTGAAATAATGTTTCCCAATCTGCACAACGAACTTCTCATTACAATTACTTAATTGTTGCCTGCCACTTGAATAACTCGATGCACTGTAAACACCTGAATTATTGGATACACGTGCATCGTTGTGCCCAATACATATACATATATACATCGTATTCACTATACACTATACATATGTACTTGCATCGAACAAATAGATAAAGGTTACGGACAACGTTGCTCGTTTTTATGAAACTAAATACCTAGCACGATTTTGCGTGCAACATAGTATACGGTTTAGAAAAACGTGGATTCGATGAGTTTGACTTTCGATCGGCGAACGTGCTGTGAAATAAAATTCGTTCGCCCGTTATCGAACCGATAATAAATATAAACAGAAATAATAATAATAATAATAATATTGCCGTTGTTGTTACCGGTACAACAAAAGGTTGGAAAAAGTATAAAACGTATTTATTTCTGTTATAAATATCCCTTGCCAGTGAATTTACGAGTGAATACGATAGCTCGTTATCGTATACACTAAGCATGCATACGATATGCTGTACGCGCGGTGCGTGCAGCAAAAATTGAACCGATACAAGTGCTTTTTTTCTTCTGCAAAAGTGATTATTTATTTAGTTGGTCCGGACTTGAACTCGATGGAGAATCTTTCGGTGTAATAAAAAGATAATTACGAGGCGAATGTGATTTTTCGTTGAATAACTTTTCGTAATTTCGATGAATTGCTGGTCGAGAGTAAGGATTTTATAAAGTTAATTATATTATATATAATATACATAATTATATATTATATTATTTTATTATTATATTGTTATATTATTATATTATTATATTATTAGATTATTATACATATCACTAGCTTCCTCAATTTATAAAGTTAATTATATAAAAATAATTCCTATAAAAATATCTTCCAAAAAAAATCGTTAAAAATAAAAACAAAAATTCAACAGTAACTTCACCCTAATCGTCGCTCCGATCATGCCCAAAAAATGAACAATTCGACAATAAATCATCAGATTCCCTTATATAAACGATCTCGCACGATCCGCTCGCCGTCGTTGCGTCCGATCGCAAGCGTCGGGCCCACGGGTCCCCATCCGTTTGGGTCCGTTTCACGCAGGAAATCCTGCCTCGGCGCAAGGCCCCCCTTTTTCCCCGAATTTCCCCGTAGCGGTCCCCGCGATCCTAGCGAACACAGGGTCGCACGTGGTCCGCAGCCTAGTCTAACGCTTTTTGACAGTTGCCGGGGCCTTGCGTCCGGCGTCGTTGGTAACCACAAAGTTTCAATAAGGAGGCACCGAGGGTAAACCGCTCGGAACCGGTATGGCCGCGGCGCGGCCCGGCGCGGTGCGGCCCGGCGCGGCCTTATGGTCGGGGCCCGTGCAAAAGCGGCGCGGCATAAGATAGCGCGCCCGTGAAACGGGGAACGCGCGAATAAGGTGTACGTCAACGTGACTAAAGAGGCCTCGTTACCATAATCGCCGATGCAGAAGGGGCCCCGGTGTATTCTTAAATCTGGCAAGCCAACACCTAAACACGGT